CGTCGTCGACGCTNTCGACCCCNCCCCCCCCCCCGTCCACTCCTTCCATCCAGCGATCCCGGATGAAGAAAGGGAGGATCGGCTCTAGAGCCAAAGACCTGATCCACAAAACTGTACACTACCACACACTCCTCTCTTCCGAGTTCGTCAAGGTTTTTTCCTCTGCCCCCTATGTCCCGTGTTCTATGCTCGGACATGTCCGCTAGCCCCTGCCTGCTCGATCTCACCTCGGTACGCTCGTTTGTCCTTGGCCCCCGGCCCTTTGCTGCTTGCGCCCTCTCTGTCGCGCGGAGCACGCGCTGGCACCGCGCCTCCCATACACGATCAATACGAAGCTGTACCATTTCCCCGACCCGGCGCGTGCGCGGGAGAGAGAGCGACAGGATGCTGGTGCAAGCGGGCTTGGAGGAGCATCTCGTATGCGCGGCATGGAGCTGCTCGACTCCGCCCGCCCGGCGCGGGGCACAGCTCTGGAGTTGGAAGAAGGAGCGACGCATGCCCCTCGCGCTGTACCCGTGCTGGAGCGGAGCAAACAGAGCGGGAGGCCCACGAGGCAAGCTGAGCAGGCAGAGCCCGCGAGGCCAGGCGTTGGGGTACGGGGACGACGTCGGCGGGGAGCAGGCAGGCAGCGCCGGCCTGGGTTCGGTGCAGCTCTCTGCCTCGCATAGCGAATTCAAACAGGCAGGTGGCGGCTTGTATTCGAGCTGACCCGCGGGGCTAATCGGCGCAGCCCCCGCTCGCGTGCTCTTTCTATTCCCACCCGCTGCTGTGCGCACGCGGCCGGAAATCGTTGTTGGGGGACAGAGACACAGCCGAGGCTGGGCAAGGCGGGGCTGCTGGTCCGTCCAGCAGAGAAGCCCGACGCCAGCTGGAGATTATTTTTTTCTCTCGCTCTCGCTGCACCCTGGCCGGGCAGCGCTGGCTGCTGCTGCTTGGGTGGCCTGATGCGCGCTGCAACCGCCTGCAGGTCACACCTGCGCCGCCGCTTGCGAGGAGGCGGCGGGAAGCCTGGCAGGCCAAGCCAGGCCAGGGTCGCTCCTGTCTGCCTCTTTGGCTTGACCGGCGAACTCGAAGCAAGCCAGACAAGGCTCTGCCTCGAGTGCTGCTGCGATGGCCGAGAGAAGAACCAAGGGCACCAGGCCAAAAGCAAGCAAGCAAGCAAGGAAGATGGAGAGAGGGAGAGCGAGCTCAGGAGGCGAGGCGCACATCGTATGGTTTCTTCTCAAGGCGGAGAAGTGGCTGGCTGGCTGGGGTTCTTGGTGGTGGGGGGACGGCACGCGCTGCGGTGCTTGCCTGCTGGCTGTCTCTCTGTGCCCCGCCAGGCCTGGCCTCGGGAAGAAGTTAAGATCGCAAGCAAGCCAACCAGCCAGGCCGGGACGCTCGCTGCTGCGGTCCATGCAGCGGCAGTCGAGGCCCGCCCCGCCCTCTTGGGTACCGCCTCGCCTGCTGCGTGGCGGCGTGCCCGCTTGCCCGCCGTGTCTTGCCTTGGCCTGAGCAGGCTAGGCCTGCCCTCCTCTCCTCAGGCAAATCTGCGGCGTGGCCTGCCTGCCTGCCTGCTTGCTTCTTCGTTGCGCGAGCGGCTCTCGGGACTCGAGTGTGCCAAACGAGTCAACAACACCACCATCACCACCACTGCCACCACCACCACTGCCACCACCGCCACTGCCTCCCCACCACCCAGCCTGCTGCTGCCGCTGCAGACGCCCGCCTCGCCGCTCTCGCCGCTTTGACCGCCTTTGCAGCGGCCAATTTGCCGACTCACTCCGCCGTCGCCTCGTCCGAAACCAGGCTGCTTCAGCTTTCGGCATCTTTCCGTTTGCCCAACGACTTGACGCTCTGCTTCGCCGTCCGGCCTGCTCCGTGTACCGATCTTGCACAGGCCCTTACCAGCCAACGACCTGAAACGACCTCGATCGACTCATCCGACAGACGCAAAGCCGGGCTCAGAAACCTCAGGCCGCCAAAGTGACACGGAACTGCCGCCGCAGTCGAGGCTACGGCATCGCCGCTTCTCTGTCGCCTCGACCCCGGGCTGATCCGTGCCTGCGCAGGATCAGAGAGCTCCTGCCACGGACAGCATCCTGAACGGCCGACGGCCGGACCGATCCCCGACACCACCAGCACCGCCGACTGATCCCCGCGAGCAATAGGGCGTAGGAGACCGTGCTGCGCCGGCTTTCCAGCAGCCTTGGCACGGCACCTCGTCAACTGTGCCTCGCTTCGCGCTGCCTTTCACTGCTCGCTCACTACGCTCGCTGAACAACCTCGACGGGGCCGCCCCGTGCCTCTGTAACCGACCTCCAGGATGGCGCCTCTACTCCTCAAAGTCAAAGGCGTACGTTGTCCCTTCTCCTCCTGACCCACGTCAGCAGCTGCTCCTGGCGCTGTCCCTTCTCCTCCATTCGCTGATACGCCGTACCTACCGCCCGAATCGCTTCCCACCTCTCCTGCTTGAACGACCTCGCAGAACAAGTCTTTCAGCCCCTTTTCCAACCTCACCGACCAGGACTCGCTCACGCGGACATGGCGGGTATGCACCAAGGTCGCCGCCCACCTCGAGCAGGGGCAGCGCCTCGAGAACCTCAGCTGGAGGCTCTGGTACCTGCACGACCTCATGGTCGAGAACGACGACAACAAGAGCAAGCGGGACTTTAAGCGCCTCTCGCGGTCCACGGGCGAGAAGCTCGACCGCGACAAGGGTCGCTCCATCGAGCAGCTCACTGCGCCCGGCTTCCGCAGGACCGACTCGGGCGATGCGGTGCGCCGCAAGGCCGCCGAGAGGGAGAAGCTGCGTGCCCTCGCCGTCGCCAAGCTGCAGGGCAAGTTCAAGGGCAAGCAGACCATGAAGGACATGCAGGTGAGTCTCAACCAATATCGACGGCCCGCTCAAACACGGGGTCCATCAGCTCGCCTCTCAACTTCTGTGAGCATCGAGCTGATCAGTCGCCGCCCGTGCTACCATGGTACTGCCGCTCTATCAATTCCCCTCTCAGTACACCTTTGCGGTCGATCCGAAGGTCAACTTCAAGAGGACGAGCGTCAGCGAAGGAACTGGCGAGATCGCTGCGCCTTCCTCAGCCCCCGATTCTGCGGCAGCTCCCGCTGTCTCGCTCCCACAAGACGCCCGAGGCGCCCCTGAGCAGGTTGAGCCCGTTGCTGCGCCAGCGCCACCATCGGTCGACCTCAGCCATGACGGCAGCGGCAGCGCGATGGACTCTGCCATGGACATCGCCATGGCCGATGCCGATGCAGAACAGGCGGCCATGCAGCACCCTTTCGATGCGATGCCGGACCAGAGCTCTTACTTCTCTTCGATGGGCTTCGGCTACAACCTCGCCGACATCGAGGCAGCGGAGCGCGAGCTCCTTGCCAACCAGATCGACCTAAACGCGCCCCTCGAGACGCTGCTTGCCGGGCTCGAAGGCGTAGAGGACGTCCAGATGGACCTTTCCGACATGGGACTTGCTGCTGGCGCTCAGCTGCCCAGCTTCAACGCACCGTTCGACACGACGACGCGGCAGACGTACGTGTCGTTCGCGGTCCCGCCGGTCGCCGAGGACACTTCCGCAGCGCCGCGCAGCCGCACGTCTGCGGTGGCGCCTTCGAAGCAGAAGGTGACGAAAAAGCAGCGAAAGACGGACCCGCAGCAGCAGAAAATTGCCGCCGAGCTGGTCCGCAAAAAGGCAGAGGAGGTCCGCACCGCTCGCAAGCTGGCAGACGCCACGCAGCGGACGCACATTCACGGCGGCAGCGGGCACGACGGCCTACTGGAGGGACAGCGGCTCGGATCGTCGGGCGCGAGCGGCAGCGGCAGCGGCAACGGCAACGGCGATGTCGGAGGCGCCCCCATGCAGTGGGCGCTGCCGGGCCAAGGACCGACGCATGCTCCGCATCAAACCGGCTGGCCTTCGCAAGGGCCGTCGGCGTACAGTCAGGTCCAGTCGCAGCCGCTCGGTAGCATGCAGCCTGGCGCCTTTGGAGGCGGCTTCGCTAGCCTGAGTGCCATGGCGTCTGCCACCGAGAGCGCCCACAGCTTTGACCACGCCGGCACTGCACCGCTGCAGATATCCACCTCATTCCCCTCGACCGCCAGCGGCTCTACCGGCGGGTTCACTGGGACCTCGACCTCGACCCCATCGACACCGCTGTTCGTCGACAAGTCCGGTTTCCCTCCAGTCCAAGGGTGCAGCTGGGGCATCGACTCACTCTCGGCTCCGACTTCGCCGACATCGCGCCCGGCCTTGGCCAACTTCGGGCGATCTGGGTCGAGCCCCGGTCCATCAACCACGTCCGGCTCAGCACCTGCAACGGTGGCCAAGCGGCACTCGACAGACGGCGTGGATCAGGTGGCCAAGCCGCGCGGTCGTGGCCGGCGTAGCCTGATTGGACCCAACGCATTCACTGCGATCCACCCCGGCGGGGCGGGCGCCGGTTCCGCGGCGGATCGAAAGTCGTCGAGCAGCGACTCGCAGCCCGCTGCCGCGCAATGCACGAACTGCGGTGCCACCTCGACGCCGCTGTGGAGGCGCGACCCGAACGATCTGCTGCTGTGCAATGCGTGCGGCCTCTACCTCAAGCTGCACAAGACTCCACGGCCCAAGAGTCTCAAGAACAACCATCACAGCCACTCGCACTCAGGCCACGCCACGCCTTCGGCCACACCCGGAGGTGCCTCTGCGCCCGGGTCACGCAATGTCTCGCCCTCACGAGCCGGCTCTCCGAGCGAGGACATGATGTCGTGCCACAACTGCGGCACTTTTACGACACCGCTATGGCGCAAGGACGATGCCGGCCACACCGTCTGCAACGCCTGCGGCCTCTATCTCAAGCTGCACCACGAGCACCGTCCGGCCACGATGCGCGCCGACGTTATCAAGAAGCGCTCGCGGTACGACGAGAAGCGCGGGCGAGCCTCGGCCGCCTCTTCGCGTCGCAGCTCTCCGCAGCCCAGCGGCGCCAGCGGTCCCAGCGGCGACTCGACCTTGGGCAACGCGTCCAGCTCAGCTCCGGCCTTGGTCTCAGGCGTCGCACATCAGCCATCTACGACACCCGATGGGGTGAAGACGGAACCATCTGAATCTGGGTCTGGCGCCGCCGTGCGAGCGCAGGGATTTGGCGCCGATGGACAGGTGCATCAACAGCAAGCGCAGCAGCAGCAGCCGCAACAACAGCAATCGCAGCAACAGCAACCGCAACAGCAAGGTCCAGCCATGGCATTTCCGTTCCAGCCTCAGGCAAAGATGGAACAGGGACCGGCGGGCGCGGGGGCGGGACCTCCTCTTGGCGCTCCATCGGCTCCGGCCGAGGCGTCTGCCCGCTGGCCACCGATGCCGTTCTCGATGGGCGGCCCGGGGTCCGGTCCTGCTGGGATGGGCGAAGGAGCGATTGGCGCGAATACACCCAACGCCTTCGCTGCCATCATGGCGCAATTCGGCCTTGGGCTTGCAAACCTCTCTCAGTCGCCGCAATCGTCGGATGTGCCGGCGTACCAGGCTTCCAATGGTAGCGCATCGACATTGCCGACGGATTGGTCGACGATGCAGGCGGTCATGCAAGGTCAGCAAGCGCTCTTGGCCGCGCAGAATGCGTTGGGCCAGCACCAACTGCAGCAGCAGGAGCAGCTCCGACAGCAACTACGGCAGCAGGAGCTGGAGCAGCGGCAGCATGGCGCCAGCCACATGCCGAATGAATCGGGCCCGCTTGCGTCTGCTCCCGTCTTCGGCGCATCACAACGACATGGCGACGCTGCTCCATCTTCGGCGATGTCCGCCTACCCGCCCACGTCGACTGGCGCCGCCGGCACGCCCAGCTCGGCGATGGCGGCGGCCAACTATGCCATGCCGCAGTTCGGCTCGTTTGGCGAATCTCCTGCGACAACAACGTCCGATGCCGGCGTCGACGCGGCAGCGACGGCGGCAGCGCCAAGGAGCGCCAGCGGCGACTCTGCAGAGGTCAGCGTCAACGCCGACACGCCGCAGGCGGGTAGCTGGTGGTAAATCGTGAAAAGCGACGCTTGCACGCTCCCATCGTAGGACGAGGTGGTCCCGTTCTCGCCCGTCTCCGATCCCTCCCCTGTGTTTCCTTTCTTTCCTCAGCCTCTCTCTAAGCATTTGTACCGCGGATCTTCCACGTCTTCTCTAGCCCGGTCCAGTCCCATTGTCGCAAGTCAGGTCCTTGTCCAGTGTCAGAGTCCCATCACCACGTCCGACAAGCTGTACAGCTGCTCGTGTGGTCGACTGAGGTGTGCGGCGCGGCAACGGCTGTAGGGCCAGGCATCCTTGCTTGTAGGAGAGCCCGCCATCATCACGACGAGTTGGGCTGGGACAGGAAATCGGCCGAAAACCGAGACAAAAAGTTGAGGCGCCTCGAGCCGGCGCGCTGCGCTGGTCTGCGGCCACCCGCGATGAGGGAGGGGACAGACAGCGGGCACCGTGGTCCCACGCAGGGCTGACTGGGGCTAGGCGGGTCAGGCAGCGTAGCTCGAGGAGAGATGAATCAGAGCTGAGTCGCGGGCTGGCTGCCTCTGTTCGCGCAAGTCAGCCGGCCGGCCTGGACGTGCCCAGGTCGAGCCCTTGAGACCAAAAGCCAGCGGTGGCGTCGAGTGCAGCTTCCCTCCGCCCCACCATCTCGCCCATCTTCCGCTCATCTCTCGAACCGCATCAAGTTATCACCGCCCTGCATCCCGGTATCAAGCGCAACCATGCCTGCCCAATCCCGTCCCGTTGCACGCCCCGCTCGCCCCATTCCGCGCCGCCACCCCCAGCGCGCTGCAGCACCGGTGGAACAGGCTGGCCATCCCCGCGGCGGTAACGGCCCGCGCCCTGTCGAAGACAATCGTATGGACACCGGTGACGAGGGCGTTCGTCAGCAGACTGGCGTCCTTGAAGACAGCTCCGAGACTCGTCGAGACGGCCGCACTGCCGGCAGCGTCGAGGCAAGCGGCCGCCCGACCGAGGAGGATCCTGCCGCCATCTCAGGTGAGGAGAGCGACGATGCCACCTCGTCGTCGGGCAGTGATGGCACCGCTGCCTCCGCTACAGGACAGCAGCAGGACGCCTCTCACCGCTATGCCCGCACGCTTGCCAACGTGGCCATGGGCCTGGTGCCGTGCTCGGAACCCTTTGAAAAGGTCGTCGCCATCGCTCGCATCCAGCTCATGGCTCTCGACGTCCAGATCGCCTTGGCCAAGAAGAACGTCGAGGTGCTCACGGCGCACTGTCATCTCAAGCCGCAGAGCACGCGCCCGGACCGCCCCATCCCCAGTGGCGACCTGCCCATCGACGTCAGCACCGGAGGCCGCGCTCTGCTGATCGCCTACCAGATGCGACAGTACGAGCTCCAGCTCTACCTCCTCGACTGCGACATGGCAGGTCACCCGCAGGCGGACGAGGTCTCGGTCCCTCGTCGCCTGCCGGAGATCATGGCTCGCTTCAACCAGCTGCTCCAGCAGTGCCGCGAGCAGCAGCCCGCGGACGGAATCCTGTCGGACGTCGTCGAGACCCTCCTCCCAGTCCTCGTGCGCGAGGCTCGCACCTATCCGCTCGACCTCGAGGAAGATACAGACTCGTCCGACGAGGGGGCGGACACTGCTTCGAAGGAGCCCAATTTTGCCATCCGCTGAAGGAGAGTCCACAGCAACCGGCACGCCTCGCAGCGAGGCTACTGGCAGACACGGCGCGAGCACAGCACCGAAGGCGACCGTCTCCCCACACAACGGCCAAGCACAAAAGGTCGTCCATCGCCACCATCAGCAAGCGAGCAGTGCACATTCACCCACGACAAGCCGTCGAGCGCACCCTCCCCATCTGCACCCGCAAACCGCAGGCAAGGCGCCCTGACAACCCCTCGGCCGTGCACCGGCTTTTGGGGCTCACAATCATCGACAAGCCGCCCGATCACGCTGCCAGCCGCCCACACAAGGGGGCCTACTCCGTGGCTCAGCCTGACAACGCCAGCTCCGAGTCGCGCACCGGTCCCGTCTCGTCCCCTGACTGCCCCGATCCGCCGTGAGCACCAACAACCTTCCCGCAATCACAAGGCCATGTCGACCTCCTCGTGCTTGCATGTGGCAATGTGCGATCAACCTTGTCCGAGATTCCGCTCGAGGAGAAGCTCGGTACGCCTGGCACGATCCTGACGCTATTGCCGACGTGAAGCGACGCGACCCTGCCGAGGTGCAACCCAAGCGTCTGTCAGCACCCGCGGCCCCCATGCATCGCACACCGCTCACCGCACACCGCACAACGCACACCGCATGGCTTTTCAGTCTGGTCTGGAACGTGACATTCACTTCGCTGTCTTTCCAAATGGAAAATGTGCAGAGGGGCCAAATTGCAACGAGGGGTGGTCAGGAAACCCGACTTTCAACGCTGACGATGCTTCTATCCCCTTCGATTACGCCATCAACGATCTCGGAGGGCGTCCGAACTGGATCCTGCCGTCATCTAGCTGGCTCCGACTCAGTAGTTACCGATGCACTGCTGTGCGAGGATGTTGAACGAGAGCGCGCCCCGGCACTCGGTCATGTCGACAACGTCCCAGCTGCCGTCGTCCCGGCACGCCCGCCTTTGCTTCGCCGTTGACGTGACACCCGGTCCTTCGGTCCTTCCGCAGTCCAGCTCGGCCGTGTGCCCGGCCGGCGTTGGCCGCCATTCGCCGTTGGCAGGGCACGAGTTCTGCGCCTCGAGCACCGAACGCGTGTAGCTGTAGTCCTTGGTGTCCAGGTCGATGGCCCAGATCTGAAAAAGAAAGGGGACGGGAACACGACCCGATCGTCAGCAACAATCCGAGCCTCAAGCACCTTCAAGCCCAGGGAACTGCGCACCATGCCGCCTCGGAGGCCATAGGACTTGATCAGAGAGACTTTCTGGGCGATCGAGTAGTCGTCATCGAAGCCGATCCATTGGTCGCTGAGGTGCCGCGGTGCAGAGTAGCCGTCAGATCGTCAGTCGCCGGCCGCCTTCTTTCTTGGCAAGATAGACGTCATCAAGTCTCTCCAGAAAGGATTGATACTCAACTCGAACGTCATGTAAGCGCCGTCGTTGGGGACCGAGTGGACGTTGGTGGCCGAGATGCCGGTCCTGGCCTGCATGTTCATGATCTCGAGGATCTCAAACCAGCCCATGTAGCCAGACTATTTCACAGGTCGAGAGACGAAGCGGTAGAAGGACAAACACGCTTGGTCAGCCTCAAGATTCGGCAAGATGTCGCGACGTCGCAGGCATGGCGCACTCACCAAGCCAGTACAACGACCCGCCACTCCAGGACCGCCGGTGGAGCCGGGCGTGTTCTGGTTGACGTTGTCGAGCGTCCACACCCTGCCGTAGGCGGGCAGACCTGCGTTGATCTTCTTGGGGTCGACGCCGGCGTCGAGGTAGAGGTGGATGGCCGAGTCGAAGCTCCACTTGGGCTTGAAGGTGTCGTAGACGGGCGCCGTTGTATCAACCTGGTTCTCCCAGTTGCCGTACTGTCGAAAGGCAAGGGCGCATCCCGCGGCAACACGATGTCAGCTCCGAGATCGCGGATCCAAGATCAAGATCGATGCAGAGAGCATTCAAGGGCACACTCACAAAGTCGTACGACACTGCAAGAAAGGATGTCCGTGAAGCAAAACGAGAACGCAGAAGGGTCAGCTCTTACGGTCGAGATCTCTGCGATGCGAGCGGAGCGCTCCCGCCACCTGGATGACTGGCCAAGCCGACACGCACTCAGGTTGTACCAATCGATGTAGTCCTGCGCCGCCCTCGCGTCGAACAGGGCGAACTTGTCGGGATCGGCGGGGGCAGCGATGGTGATCATCAGGCTCTCTCGACCCGTGGCGGCCGCCTCGTTGGAAAAGGCCTGGCGCATCTCCTGCAGGAGGGTGAGGAAGTTGGCGCCGTCCTGGGTGGTGCCGCCCCTGGACGTGTCGCCGACGTACTCCCAGTCGATGTCGATGCCGTCAAAGCCGAGGCGGCGGCACCAGTCGATGCACGACTGGATAAAGGTGGCGCGGTTGCCCGACGTCGCCACCATCTGCGAAAAGACCTGTGAGTAGTCGATTCCGCCCGTGAAGCGACCTGGCCCATCAGTGAAGGTCCATCCTCCAAGCGAGACCGAGGTCTTGATGTTGGGGTTGTTGGACTTGAGGAAGCTGTTCATGCGCAGCGAGAGGTCCTCGTCATCGACCTCGTGCGGGATGATGGTAAAGTCTTTGGTTGGGACGACAGAACGGGAGGGTCAGCTGTTGCTTCACCGTCCAATCTCCGCGCATCTCGAGACTCAAGATCACCCACTGGTGTTGGAGATAAAGACAAAGGCGTAGTTGACGTGCGTCCAGATGAAGGGGTTGATGAGCTCCGGGAGGTGGATGTCGGCCTTTGTGCAGGCGGGCGAGCCGGGGTCCTCTCCGTAGCTGGAGTCGCAGAAGGATTCGCGCCGCGTCCGTCGACCTGGTCAGCAAAACTGACCTAGCCCACGCCGATCCTCCCAACCGGCAGACGTCATCACTCACTACTGCGCCCAGGACGACCAGTAACCGACCATGTTGAATTTGTCCAGCGTGCCGGGCGCTGGGCGCCAGTACGAGTTGATATCAATAGGCGGAGGGTCAGGGCCCTTCGGCGGCGGCGGAGGTCCATCGTCGATGCAGTTCTGCGATACGAAGCAAGCCGCAAAGGGTGGGCCTCCCAACACGCCATCGTCAGCCGTCTACTCTCGAGCAAGCCAGCAGCTACCGTGCGTGTTGCGTCGGACTCACCGACTGGCAGTTGAGCGATGTGAGGCAGTACTCGGTCGTCGAGCCTGGTACAGAGATCGAGGAAGCAGGAGATAAGCTTACTGCGTGGACTAGATGACCCGCTGGATTCTTTAAGCCGTCGGACTCACCGCAAGAGCCGTACTGGCTACAGCACAGACCATCAGGGCAGAGCGCGAAGCCGAACCTCGCACCGCAATTCTCTTTCGGATCATCCGAACGCACGACAAGGGAGCAAGCTCGACGTCAGCCATCGTCGCTCTAGCTACGCTTCCTGGCCATGCATGTACCGCGCTCGGCATCCTCGGTTTCGGATGCGGACCGACGCCGCGACCGACTCACGAGCCTGAACAAAAGTTGCGGCGATTGCGAAGAGCGAAAGTACGCTCGAAAGCTTGAGAGCGACCATCGCGATCAGAGGCGCCAGGAGCTGTGGTGGTTGAGGTGGTTGCGATGGACGAGCAGCCTTGAGGAACGACCAAGGACAAGGGCGCGAAGGAGGACCAGGAAAGCAGATTGAGGCGCTCTGAGGGAAAGAACCCGCGTTCGTTGAGATCAGCACAAGATTGTCTACGGCGGCACACTCTCTCTGTCTTGTCGGACGTCGACGTGCCAGTCGAGGACCCTCTGGCTGGGCTCAAGCCAGGCTCGTCGAGCAGCTCACCGCCCAAGGTCCTGCCCTCTTGCTGCAAACGGTCGTGTTCGACTCGGTCGCGCTCCTGCTCTTTGGCGTCCAATTGTCCGAGGGACACACCATCCGCAGCTTCGGGCGAGGGCGACCGACAGGCCGGCCGAGCAACGTATCCTACCGAGACAAGACCCGCTGCCACGCGGAAGCTCGCCTCATGGGTCGGCCCGACCCGGACAAACAGCCTCCGAGAGCGGCCATCGACGAGCTCGTCTCAACCAATGGGCTGATTCGCGCACCACCAGCCGTCAAGAGCGCCATGCTGCGACGCAGGAACGGCCAGGTGGCGAGTATGAAAGTTTCAATGAGCAGCAGCATGGTGCGCGGATGCGGGCTGCCAGAGGTGTGATCTCGAAGCAGACGCAAGCCGACTACCAGGCCGCCGGGCCCTGCCAAGCCAGCAAAGAGCAGATAGATAGAGCCAAAGCGGCGGGACGTGGACCCGAGGGCGCAGCTCGCAACCGAACGCAAAGCTTTTTCTCTCGCATACAGCCGCCGCACCGGCATTCAAGACGTGGATCGCACCCAGAATTCGCCCGTCGCAACCCAGCAACGACCGGCTTGTGTTGCTCGGTGCCTTCTTCGTCTGACCACCATCTCCAAGCTCGACGACGCCGCTACGCCTTCCTGATTTGACCGTGCCGCTCTGCACGCGTTGCAGCGAGCAGCCACACGGTCGAAGCTGCTGTGCACTGCCGCCAGCTGGTACGAATCAGCCCACAGCCGAAAGCTGTTTGGCCAGCGAGGCGACAAAGCGGTCGGATGGCCTCTCCGATGTGGCCTCTCTTCGAGACTACGCGGCGTGTGCCGTCCACCCGTGAGGCTGCTTTCCGATCCTCTTCCGTCTCCTCAGCCTCCACGCCGGGGCAAAATTCCTCTCTCTCGAGCTCAGAAGGCGTCCGTCCTCGCGAGCGTTTTGCATCTCGAAGTTGGCTGCTCAGCTGACCTCTCTTCGTCGCGATCCTTCGAGCTGAAGCTCATCCTTCCCAAGTCCTTCCGTCTTCGATCGTTCCATCATCCATCCTCGTATCGTTGCCCCTGGTATCTCCATCAAAGATCAAGTCGCCATGGCATCCACCAAATGGTCATGGGCCGTTCTGGCCGTCGCAGCCTCGCTCTTGCTGCCGCTCAGCTCCCAAGGTATGTTCTTCCGGCAGCGATGGCGGCCGAAGAAGGTAAAGCGCGCGAAGCTGATGCCAGGTAATTTCTCCTTCTCTTTCGATCGTGATCGCTCTTTGCACGGCTTATGCGTGACTCCAGCCGCCTACGTTTGCAAAGAGCAAGTCAGCGTCAAGTCAGGCGACACGTGCGATGCCATCTGTGCAAGTAACTCGGCCTCGATGGCCCAGCTGCTGCTGCTCAACTCGGGACTCGACTGCTCCCTGCTCCAGATCGGCCAGCAGATCTGTGTGCGCGCTACGACCTACGACTGCCAGCCCGTGATCCAGGTCCAGAGCGGCGACTACTGCTACGGTATCGCGGACGCAAACGGAATTACGATCGACCAGTTCTACCTCGACAACCCGGGCATCGACTGCAACACGATCTATCCGGGCTACTCGGTCTGCGTGAGCCCCACCGACCCGAACGCCCCGTCGCCCACTCCGACCTCGACCACGGCCACTGCAACTGCGACTACGACCACGTCGACCACCAGCACCTCGGCCCCGACTCCAACCTCGACCGCATGCACCGACTACACCACCGTCCAGGCGGGCGAGACGTGCGACACGATTTGCCAGCGCGCTAAGGTGACTCAGTACGACCTTACTCTGCTGAATCCGGACCAGGCCAACGTCTGCGATACACTACAGGCCGGACAGGCGCTATGTGTCGATGGTCCTCAGAACACGTGCGGCTCCACGATCGAGGTCAAGGAGGGCGACTACTGCTACGGTATGGCCGAGGCTGCGGGCCTCACGCTCGACGAGTTCCTCTCGCTCAACCCTGGCCTCAACTGCGACACCATCTATGCCGGCCAGGTGCTATGCGTCGCTGCGGACAGCGGTACGACTGCACCTCCCGTTGCAGACTGCAGCCGCTTCGCTACTATCCAGCCCGGCGACACGTGCGAGCGAATCGCCTCGCGCTCCTCGCTCACCTCTGTCCAGCTGCGCGGGCTCAACCCCGGCCTGGACTGCTCCGGCCTGATCCCCGGCCAGAATCTTTGCTCGTTCAGCCCCTCCGCCAACGTCTGCCCGGATCGGAGGATCGTCAAGTTCAACGACACGTGCTATGACCTCTCGCAGAATGCCAGCATGAGCCTGGCAGAGTGGCAGCAGGTCAATTCTTACGGCTCCGAGGCCATCGACTGCACCGCCCTCCCGCTCAGCTACATCATCTGCCAGGCCCGCGGCAATGCGTCGCTGCCCGTCATCTCTGGTACGAACAACGCCAGCAGCCCTCGATGCTCCAACTGCGACTACGGACAGTCTTGTTGCACCCAATACAGCTCCTGCGCGCCGCTTGGATCGAATTTCTGCAGCCGCGAGTACAAGGTATGTGCTGGGCGAGGCTGCCTTGAGGTCGTGTACGGTGTCTTTCAACCATGTGCTAACTGAACCCCTGTCCCCACCCATTTTCGCATTGTCGCGACAGTGCCAGGAAAACTGCAACGAAGACGACGGTGTCACTCTCCCACCGGGAGCCACGAACTCGACCGGGAACCCGAACGGCAACTACAGGTGGGCATGCGATCTATGGCTCGGATCGGCCTTGTTGCCAACCGCATTGTTCAGATCGCTGACGCGCCGCTCCCCCTACGCTCCGCAGCATGCCGGTTTACTCGGGCAACTGCGACGCTTGCCAAGCTGACGAGTGCTGTGCCAACGAAGGCACAGACGGCATGTGCATGCCGCTCAACTCGTGGTTCTGCGTGCCCGAAAATGGATGCCTCAGCAACTGCGTGTCCGACATCAACCAGTTTGCACTGTCTAACGATCCGGCCCTCTACAGGCCGAGCTTGGCGCCCAACTATACCTTCCCGGCTGGAGACTACAGCTCCACCGACGGCAACCCGTGCGGGACGTGTGGAGCCGATGAGTGCTGCGACGTCTCGGTCCAGTGCACGCCACAGGCCAACGGCACCTGCTTCGTCTCGCAAGGTTGCCTCTACAACTGCCTTCAGGTCTACCAGTGAGTATGCTGACGAGAAGGACGCACGTTGAGTCTTGTCAGGTCGATCGCTGAAGCTACAAATCTTTCTCCTTGGGCCCTGAGCGTGCAATAGGATGTGGGAGTACGACGAAGAGGACGGCACGTACGAGCCGCTCTACGACACCGCCACAGTCACCGTCAAGAAACCCTTCCCTGAACAGTCGCCGGAGCCGATTGACCTCAGCTGGCTGATCACCACGATCACGGCCACGGCTACGGCGACCGACGTCAACGGCACGGCTACTGCCACCTCAACCAGAAGCTCGGCGGCCGCTCTGCGGATGGCAACCGTTGCCACCACTACCGCTAGCAGCAGCAGTCTGAGCGGCTCTGGTTCGAGCAGCAGCACCGCGAGCGGCAGCCAGATGAGTTCGTCGAGCAAGTCTTCCTCTGTTGCAGCCACGGGAACGAGCAGCGGCAGCGGATCGACTGGTACGTCTGCCAGCGCCTCGCCTACATCGGCTTCGAGCTCTAAGGCCGCGCAGTCGTCATCGGCGGCGACCATGTCCGCCTAGACACAACAACCCGCTTCTTCAAAGCCGAGCCGGACAGCTTTCAACGAGCCTGCAAGAGTGTCGCGAGGGTCTGCCGGCATCGGCGACCTTCGAGCGCTCGCCGTCAGGAGTTCTAATCATGGTTAGGAAGACTTGTATCGTTGCGTAGCCTGAAAGTGCCCGATATCGGTCTGCACCGGCTGATTGATTGGAGCGATGAGCTGCGACTTTAGCACCGCGAAGGCGACTCTATCGACCTCTCCGCTTCAGGAGCTTGGAAACAGGCTCGAATTGTGAGTAGACAGCGTCCTGTTTGTGCCGAAGACCCTCCGGAAGGCTTCGCTTCGGCCGGACGGACCCGAAGGAGCAGTGGTCCCGTTACAAACTGGCCACCCTACTGGCCCGGCTTGGGCCCGCTGCATGCAAAGGCGATCCTCGCCAGACGAGACTACTGTGCTCGCTGAAGCGATGTACGTCTATGTATGCAGTCCATGGGCTTGGCGGAACATCCGCTGCTGTATCTCTTTCGCTTGCTCCTGCACCACGGCGAATCCTCTGGCAACGAGCTTCCAGAGCGAATCAGCGAACGAGTTGTGCTAGTGGTCAGCGAGACGAGTACAGCACGCCGTCGAATCTCGGTCAGGAACGTTCCGATGTTGCATGGCGGACACAGCCGAGACACGTCCAGACGTACGCGTACGTGTACCTACTTCAACGGCTCGGAGCGACTTGCAGCGTGGGCAAGCTGCGGGTCGAGAAGCCCTTCCTCGTTCGGATCGGCCCGACCGACGGACCGGCCGAACAACGGCCCTCTCTGACAGGCGGACACCTTGCTCATACACCGGCACGCTCCCCTCAAGCCCCTGCACCTTGAGCCTGGTTGGTCCATACCGCACCGCTCCGTGGAGCCAGACGAATGGTCCGCTGATTCTCAGAAGAAGGCTCGCTCTTGCCGGCGAGCCATTCCCACGCTTCGCTCGCTGCACCTTCGGTTCGGCACGCCCGCCACGCGCGTGCGGCGGCAAACCTGGGTCGCCCTCGTGCGGCTTGACCGCTGCGGCCCTCTCTCTTCTCCTCAACACGCCGCACCGTACCACGCCACATTGCACAACACCGGCCTACTCAACAAAGGGACTTCCACTTCTCGTCTACGCCGTCGGCACGGATCCCTATCGTCCGAACGTTGGAGCCGACCACTGGTCTTGTCGCGATAAGTGCTGCGGAAGCTGGTGGGTGCCTACTCAGGCGTTGGCTAGCGAGATCTTGCTATTAAGATTCGCTCTTTCTTGTGCCACCTGCCTGCCTGTTTCCGGCATCCGTTGCATGCTTGGTTTGATTCAGCCCAGCTCGGGTGCTACCGTACACGCAGACTTTGCAGCAATGCCCCGACAGGGCGCGATCCTCGACCGGCGGTGACGTTCGGTCTGTTCGGCGATGTGGATTTGCCGCCAGAGACCTGGCCAGCACGTCCTCAAACGCCGTAAAGCACTACATCGTGTGTCTTCAGCTTGCAAGTCCACACACTGGCTGCCGAGCTCTAAGGGACTCAGGCCAGAGTGTGCAGCCCGCCTGGGCGGGACGCAGGTACTGCCGCAACCGCGTGGGTAGCGGTCCACGCTTCTCTCAACCGTGCAGAGCTATTGGACAGGTTGATGTGGACGGTCTCCACGGCAGCTTCGGGACGATCCGTTGCTGATCGAATCGGACCACAGCAGATGGGGGATTCGGGTCGGTGGTCTGCGCCTGGCGCTACAGGGAGATGGTCTGAGCTGCTTAGGCGGAAACAAGCCCGTCCCTTGCCTTTCGGTGCTCGCTCTCCTTCCCTCCGTCTGGCGACGAAGCCTTCCTCCCGTTCTCCGAGTCGGCGCCTGCGACTCTCTAGAGCCCTATCGCTTTCCTTCATCACCATTTCTTCCTCCTCTTCTACCGTTTCACCATCATCAACTCCATCTTCCTCTTTTCATCAGAGGGCTCACATTTTCTCCCCTTTACGGCCGTCGGAACAAGGCCGCAAGCACCAACGTCCTCGCTTCACCATGAAGCTGCAATCGACAGTCTGGGTTCTGATCTGTGCCCTTGTGGCGCTAGCGACGGCGGCGACAGCGTCGAGCGCTCATCGCGACACACTCCATCAGCATCACAAGAGTTTCCTCCAGAGCGCCAAGAGGGTGAACAGCTCTCACCCAGCCGCTCAGGCCGATGAGAGCGCCAAGTGCAAACGAGACGTCGGGACCGGAATCGGACACGGAGTTGTCGGCGGCGACTTCGTTCGTCGCCACTCTTTGGCCCCGCGCAACAGCGGTCATCATCTCGTCAACGATGCAGGCAAGGGGTACGTGTCGCTCTGGGACCAGAACCGTGACGGCAAGCTGTCGCTCGGGGAGCTCGAGTTTGCCCTGGACTTTGCCTTTGAAGACCCCGAGCGCGGTCGGACTGCCCGTCTGGTCATGGGTTCTCCCGAAGCCAAGGACATCCTGCGCGTCGCCGACGTCAACGGTGATGGCTTCCTCACTGCTCATGAGCTCCAGACAGCCATCGAAGGCGAAATCGCCGCCAGGGCTCGCCGGAACGAGAAGCCCACCTCAGCTGACCGCGACTGCACAGCCGTCAACGCCAAGATGGAGACCTGCGCCACCCAGGACGTCCTCACTTGCGCCCCCTACGCCGGCTTCGCAGAGACGTCGTGCCGTCTGGGACGAAAGACTGAGGTCGAAGCCTGCATCCTGGAAAACAAGTGCGGAGACATCTGCGGCTGCCTGCAGAAGCTCGAGGCAAAGGCCCTAGCTCGCAAGGATCTAGAGGGACAGGCGCCGAAACACGATGCAGAGACGGACACCAATGACAATGCCTCCGGCCCGACCAACGGCCGCAAGGAGAAGCGACTCATCCCAATCTTTTTGGGCCTCATAATTGCGGAGGCTACCGCCACCGAGATCGCCGTCGGCATCACATCTGCCGCAATCTTGGCAGCGTCCGCCATTATCTTGCAGACCAAGGACAATCTCGAACTGCAGGCAATATCGCCTTTCATGGATACGGTCATCTGGGACGGCAACGGCTCTCCGCCACCGTGCTCGAACTACATCTTCTGGTCCACGCAGTGCGGCGCTATCCGTAGCTCCAAGGCGAGGAACTGCAAGCCTCTCGGGTCGCGGTGAGTCTTGCTGACGCGTGAAGTCAGGCGTGTCTTTCTAGGGAGCTGAGCTCGCCACCGTCGCTGATCATCACTTCCTCGTTCGAATCGGAACAGAGTTTACGGCAACTCGTGCCTCGATGGCCTCCGAACCGGATCGAAAGGTACGTTATGGCGGTGCGATCCCCGACGGAAACCGATCCAGGTGATCTGAACAGCATTTTCTCTCCTCCTTCTCGCATGCTACCGATACCAGCTTGCGGCTTCTTGTATCTCGGCTGTCGCTCGCTGTGCTGGAACAGCAACACCGAGGATTGCTCCTGCTCGATCTTCAACTACAGGCCGGACGTCGACGTCTTCTACCCGGGCCACGTCATCGGAGCGTACAACGTGTCCAAGATCTCGGAATGCGCCGGCATCTGCGACCAGGACACCAAGTGTGCGGGCTTCGAGGTGCCGCCGCTCTCGACCCACAACGCCGCCAATTGCTACACCAAGGACGGCCATGACAGCGTCATCGCGCAAGTGGGCAACACCGAGTTTGTCCGCATCGCCCAGCCTGCGGCCGACCCCAGGCGCAACACGTGCGGGCGCGGACGCGGCTACTTCGACATGATTCCCTACGGCTACGACTGGGGCCCGGTCGGAACGTTCCAGCGCCGGTCGTTGTCCGAGGAGACCGGCGAGGCTTCTCTTGGAAACGTCCTCGTCACCGCCGCCCACAGGCACGCAGAGTCGCGGGGCATCCAGGCGAGGCAGCAAAAACCCAATGACTACGACTACCGCTACGTCGCGGGAAGCCTCTGGCTCGCGCTTCAGATCTTTTACCGGTCCAGGACGAGCCCGGCCGCAATCGCCAACCAACCGATCCTCAACGGCGCTTACAACGGGGCCGAGTGGGCGACCCTACAGACACCCGATGTGATTCCCTTTGACGGCGTCGCGATTGGCTCTATGCCCGCTTACGCTGCCCAGCCGATCCAGAACACTGACGGAGGCGGCTGGAACTTTGTCGAGCTCCAGACGCGCGTGGAACAGGTGCACCGGAGGATGCTCGAGCTCGGATCGGCCAGCGCGGTTCTCGAAGAGGTCCAGCGATCCGGCGACCAAAACTACATCAACTACTCCGCCCCCAACGAGCTCCTCTCCATCGTCCAGAACAACGACAACGTCATCAGGTCGGTCAACGCCGACGGAAGCACGTGGCAGTTTGGCGGGCCCATCCCGACTCGCCCCAACGGTCAGGCCGTCAACAACGTCAACCCCGTGACCAATATCGCGCTGCCCTACGAGACGCGCACCAACTTCTTCCAGCGGGGAGCCGTGGGCCCGCTCACGGTCGAGGCCGCCTTCATGATCGGCACGCAGATGGCCGGCGTGCACTACGCCAACCTGAGAGCCAACGCACAGAGGGCTGAGGCCGCAGGAACCGGCGCCGGGGACACCACGGGCAGCTTCGTGTACGGCGTCAACGGCAACGGCCTCACCCCGGCCGTTGGCACCGACGGATGCATCACGACGACGGTGCCCGGCTACGACGAGAACGGCGAGGAGGCGATTCGCAACATGGGCGTCGTCGCCTTCGACTGGACCGTCAACTACGCCCAGGACACACGCGCCGGCATGTACTTCAGCTTCGACATGGACCCGGCGGCGGGAGAGGACCAGCAAAACGTGCTCCTCTTCATCGTGCAGCCCGTCGACGCCTCGAGCTACATTCAGGAGCCCGAGGGCGATCAGAACGCCGGCTACACCAACCCTCAGTACGCCAGCTACGTGCGCATCGCGACCAAGGCGGCCAACCAGCGCAAGAACCCGCGGACGCCCATCCCGCTCGGGAGCAACACGCCCGCCAACCCGGCGCCGCGCACGCGAGCCATCGCTCACGCCCACGTCGCCGTCGCCCGACGATCCGACTGGCTCGGCTGGGTGTCCGAGGGCGGAAGCTACCCACCGCCGTACACGCAGATCGGCGAGATGCACCTCTACCTCAACCCCGAGGACATTGCCGGCTACCAGTATCGCTACCAGAACCGCGGCGGCATGAACCCAGACGGTTCCGCCGACGGCAGCCTGGGTCGCCGTCAAGACGACGGAGGGCTGAACGCCGACCTTCTCGGCCCCGTTGCCAAGGCACCAGGCGCCGAGGCGGTTCAGAGCAACCACGAGCGACGATGGATCGACACCACGTCGGGCCTGCGCGCCTCGGTCAAGTCGGCTCTGTCGTCAGGGGTCAGGAAGATCTCGGGCATCCAGTTCACTGCCCGCGCTCCCCGCCTGGACCTGTGAGGGAGGAAGAGTAGTCGAGTCGCGGCGTCCTGTGCAGCAAGAGGGGAGCGGCTGATAGAAGGTTGTCGCTGGTCAGGCCGCGGCCAGGCTGACTGTTGCCGTGAGCTTCGTAGACCGCCTCTGGATTGTTGTACACGTAGTAATAGTGTCGTCGGCGGAATATCATGTGTCGGAATGCCATCCTAATGCCGTCGTCGGGCTCGATGCTGAGCCGGTGCAGCCGATCCGCTCCTGCTTTCGAAGCGCTCGTCGCCTTCTGCCGCCGGGCGCAGCAGACAGTATCGATCAAGTCCCCCGGTGCACGAGCAGAAGCCCGTCTCGATGATTGCCATCGTACCCTCGCAACCGGATCCTTAGCTTTTCACGGCTGGCACCACGGTAGGCATTCCTTTCTCTGCCCGACCTGGCCGACCGGTCCGACCGAGAATCTTGATCCTGCCTGTAATGACCGCGAAGGCCCAGAGAACATCTCAGTACACTGGCACACAAACGGTGACTTCGCAGAGTGACGCGGCTGAGGCTCACCAGTCAGATTCGAAAGACTCCCTTTCAGGTGTAGCTGGCCGGGATATGTCCAAACCGCGCTACGAGCTCGTCGGCTGTGATGCTGATCAAGCCCCGTTCGGCGGGCATTTTGCGCGGGCGCTGGTGCGACATGCCGTGGGCGTCGAAAGAGACCGAGGGCTGCATGTCGCGGTTGTGATCGTGCTCGCGGAGCCAGTCCTCAATGCGTCCGAAAACGTTTCGAATCGCCGCCCACTGTCGTTGCGCTTCCGCGTCTTCGTTGTCGCTCCCCTCGTCCGCTCCGTTGGACACTCTCTCTTGGGGATCCCAGGCGTTGGCTTTAAGCGCGGCCGAGACGAGCGCCCTGCCCTCGTCTCCGGCGGAGGCCGTCAGGAGGTTCAGCAGGAATGCGACGATATCTGCCTGTGTCACGGGGGTATTGGCGCTCCCTGGCCTGGCAGAAGCCTGGCGTTGCCGTTGTGGAGCGTAAGTTTGTTGTTTTGGCTGTCGTGCGAGGTCCTTCCAGAGAGCATGCTGTGCGGGGGAGCCGGGATTCGTGCAGACACTCAGGCGGCCAGACATGAAGACGAACGTGACCTCCTCCAAGCGACAGTTCGGATCGATACGGTCGAGTGTCCGGCCGAGGCCGTCCTGAAATGAGTGGTAGCCGCGGCCCTCCTCGAGGTCGAAGACGATGCGGCGCAGACGCGGCGCGTGCAGGCAGCCGCCCTGCGCTCGGTGCAGCGACTCTGCCGCGAGATTGAGCGAATTCAAGTGAGGGGCGTGGATGTGGCTGCCGCTGGTCAGGCACGGCAGCAGGGACTCGTAGATGCCGAGGCGGAGCGTGCGGACCGAAGGCAGGATGCGCTTGAGAACGGCGGCGACTCGAGCTCGGCGTCTGTCCAAGTTGGCCTCGATATAGTCGCGGAAGGGCGGATCCGGAAGGTGCTCGTTCCCTGTTTGTCCAGAGCGTGGTGCACAGCACAGGAGGAGCTCAGCTGGTAGGTTCCAATGCTAGGCTCGGCTTGGGGCTCTGCTCGTCGAAAGGCGAAGGTCCACTCGCGGCCAACTTACAGTCGTTGCTGCGCGCCTGCGTATTATCCAAAACGGCGTGCTTGACTAGTCTCGCGCGTTTGGGCCTCTTCCGGAAGAGCTTGGCAAGAGGTTCTAGCCGCCAAGCATCGAGGACGACGAGGTTTCGGAAGAGGTGCGGACGGGCGATGGTCTCAAAGTGGCGCGAGACGAGGCGAAGGCTAGCGAGCCACGCGACGTGGCGGCTGTACTCGGGCAGACGCCGTTCGTCGTCGTCGACATTGGGAGCGTCGAGGGCTGCCAGTCCGAGGATGCGGTCGAGGATCTCTCGAGGTAGTCGTGGGACGTTGACAGCGTCGCTGCTGGCGGATCTTGACGTGGACATCTAGGAGAGGTGGGCAAGGTATAGCCGACGGTGTATGATCGTGGTGGTGGTAGTGAGGAGCATCGTGACTAGCAACGGCGACCCGCAAGGACGAAGGTGACGGGCGAGGAAAGACGGAGGGCCGCTTGGACGAATCATGAATCGAAGGAAGCGCGCGGTGCGGTGCGGTGCGGTGCGGTGCGGTGCGGTGCGGTGCGGTGGCTGGCCTGGCTTGCCATGCATGCAGCTTCGGGTCGGGCGGGCGGAGGTCCGTCCGAGTCTAACTTCCCTCCATGCCTGGGTGCGCTGCCCATGTTGCCGACAAACGAGGGCCGACTTCCGGGTCTGCGGACACGCCCAGCGCCTGCCCTCCATATGGGCCCGTCAAGGGATAGATTGGCGCAGGGCTGCGCTGGACCCTCGGCCCGCACGTCTAGCTCCAAACCAGACCAGTCTCACGCCATCAACTTCTTCAACGCCACGACCTTTCCGACCTCACGGCAACGCTGCTCCGCTGCGGCTGCGATACAACGTCTTTTTTTGGCTTTCAAAGCGCAGGCGCGGTTCTCGAAAATACAGTTGTGTTGCGACTCGTTTTGCTCGTTCGCTCGGTCAGTCGTCGGTCAGTCGAAGGATCGGTAACTTTGGCCAGAGAGCCACCCCCTGTCCCTTGAGAAAGAGAGAATGAAACACGCGTATCAACGGCGGCAGCGGCAGGCCGGCGGCCAAGCAGACGCTCGTCCGCGCTGTGTCCCTCGCCGGCAGCCCGCTGCCCAAAAGCCTTAGACGGCTGATGGCCCATGCCGCTGGTCCGGGCGCCCCTCCGCTCCGCTGATGGTCCGGGCCCGGGACGCGCCTCTTCTCCTCTAGGCCGAGGTGGCCGCGGCCTGGGTATCGTCCTCGTTCTGGGCGGCGGTGTTGTTGGTCCGTCGCTCCTTTTCAGTCTCGAGCTGGTTGTACAGCAGGAAGAGGGCCTTCTCGTTGGCCTCGGGCGTGCCCTGGATGGTGAACATGCGCTCGCCCGTCTCGTCGTGCGGGATCTTGGCGATGCTAATCCTCGATCCGCTCAGGCGTCGGATCTCGGTAATCTTGCTGCCGCCCTTGCCAATGATGCAGCCGACCATGTCAGAGGGGATCGAGATGTTCTGCGTGCGCAGGTTGGCCTGGTCGACGAGCGGCGGCGCAGAGGCCGCCTGGCTGCCGCCGTTGGCCGACACCGGCGTGGTTCCGGCAACAAGGCCACCGCCAGGGGTCACGGCGGCGTTGGGGTCGGTGCGGCGAGCGCCGCCCTCCCTGCGGTTGGCACCCTGGCCGTTGGAGGCGCCGCCGCCGAGGCTGAGGTTGCCCACAGCGTTGGTCAGGTATGCGGGTCCGCTCGCATTGCCGCCAGCACCGGCCTGCTGGTTGCCCTGGCCGTTGTTGTTGCGGCGGCCGCCGCTCTGCTGCTGCAGGCCGCCAATGCCTCCAGCGGCAAGGACGCCAGCGCCATCGCCCTGGCCGGGGTGGTACAGGACGACGCCCTGGCCGCGCTCCCAGTCCTCGACGAGGCACTTCGCGATCTCGAGGATGGCGACACGGATGGCCTCGACGCTGCCCTGGACCTCGACAACGCGCTCGGTGCTCTGCGGCAGCATGTCCTTGGAGGCGACCATGCGGGCGCCCGAGAGGTCCTGGATGTGCTTGATCTTGAGGCCCTGGCGTCCGATGACGGTGCCCATCAGGTTGTGCGAGATGAGCAGGCGGACCGAGGTGAGCTGGTTGGCGGGCTGGGCGGGGGTGCCGTCAGCGTTGACATTGAGCGGGTTCTCGAGGATCGTCTTGCCAATCAGCGAGAAAGCCTCGGCGACGCCCTCGAGGGTGCCGGTGACGCTCAGGACACGGTCGTGCACGCCAGGGACAACCTTGCTGACGCCAGCCTTGACACCAGTCTTCTCGCGCAGCTCGGCGACGTTGGCACCGCCCTTGCCAATGATGATACCGGCCTCCTTGGTGCTGACGAGCGCACGCACGGTGAGCGAGGACTTGGGGTCAACGGCGGCCGATTCGTCGCCAGCAGCAGCGGGGGCATCGGCACCCTCGGCAGGAGCAGCGACATCAGCGGCAGGGACGGCCTCGGCGCCAGCGCCGTTGTCGACGACGGCCGGGGTGGCCTCGACGGCAGGGGAAGCGGCCGGAGCGGCAGCGGGGGTCTCTGTAGTCGAGCGAAGAGCAACGATGGCAGGAGAAACGCAAGGTCAGCAGGCGAGAACACGGCGTGCGGGCGAGCAAAAGGGTAGACGAGTTAGTCACTTACCAGTAGCAGCCTGCTCAGCGGACGACATGGTGACGTAAGGATGGAAGTTTGGGAGGTGTGAGGAGGTCGAAGAAGGTGTGGACGGGTGAAGAGAGGTAGGACAGAGGAGTTCCACAGGAAGTCGTCTAGTCCAGCGACGTCAAAAGTGGGCCCTTTGCTCGTCGGATCGAGATCAGGTCCTCAGGAAAGGTCGGGTGGTCGGTGGGGTGGGCTTGACGGGGAGGACGGCCAAGCGAGGAGGGATCGCGCGAAAGAGGAAGGAGGAGGGAGGAGGATGAGGATGACGGCGTGTTGGTGAAGGAGGAAGAAGGAGGATGGAGGCGGAGGTCGGGCGAGGTGGAAGCGGAAAGGAGGTAGCGTGGGTCGGCGGCGGCAATGATGATGATGATGATGATGATGATGGTGATGATGGACGAGGGTGAAGGCGACGAAGGCGGCGAGGTGGTGACTGACGGCGGTACCAGGGTCGCCCTGGCAGGCAGCCCCGACCGTTGCAACAAGGTTTCTGGCGGTCGTCCGTCCAACGCCCAGCCTGCGCTCGCCCGCTCCCGCTCGCCCGTCCGTCCGCCCGTCCTTTTGCCAGGCCAGGCCAGGCCGCGCTCTCAATTTTTTCTCGCCCCCTGCCTGAGCCCAACCTGGCCTAGCAGGCCTGGCCTGGCCTGGCACGCCCGCTGCACCGCCCCGTCCCTCTCTCGCTCTGGAATTTTTTTCGCCTGGCCAGGGAGGGAGGGGGCCAGGCCTACCCTTGCCAGCGGCCCCTTTGCCCTGGCACGCGTGACCCGCGGCGGCCTACCAGTCTGCGATGTAATCGGGATGCAAGCGTGGATCTGAGCCGTCCCCCCGATGAAGCTATGCTATTTCATCGGGTCGAGGGTCTGGACTTGCCCTCCCCCGAGTCCAAATTTGTCCGATGCGGGCAGGGGCGGCCAGCCTGCATGACGAGGGGCGGGGCGAGCGAGCACGTTCCACGCTTCGACGTCGCTTCATTGGCGAGGGGCCAGCCCAGACGAGTGGGGCCAAGCAAGCGGGGGCACGCTCGAGCGAGCGAGGCCAGCAGGCCAGCAGGCTGGCTGGCTGGCTAACCTGGCTGCAATTCCAAAATCGCAGGCCGGCGGGCCCAACATCTGCCTGCCTCGACATCGACATCCATCGACGACGACCAACGGCACCACCATCCACCCATCACCACCTACCTTCGGCCGTGCACACACACGAATCCTTCCCATCAGCATCCTCCGCCCCATCGCACGCCCGCACGTTATGTCGACGACGTCGCGCCGCTCCGCACGCGAGAACCTCTCGACGCCCTCGTCGTCCGGCACCCTCTCGCTCGCCTACCGCCGATCCGTAGTGGCTCTCCAGTCCCTCTTCGGCAGCGGCTCGAGCCAGAACTACGCCGAGCGGGAACCCCTCCTCTCCTCGTCCTCCGGCCAGCCCCAGAACGGCGGCGACGAGGGGTACAGTGTGGCGGGACCTTCTTCGGCCAGGGGCAACGGGTACGGCGCTACCGAGGCCGGACCCAGCGGCGAGGCGAGGAGGAGGATCCCCAAGCCCAAAAAGGTCATCACCCAGAGCAAGGTTGAGGCCAAGGTCTGGTTCGCAAACGAGGTGAGTGGCCTTCGCGATCGCCTTGCTGCCCTTACTTTCAGCCAGCATGGCTCGTCGATGGCTGACCTCCCTCCTTCTCCCTCTGTTCCTCGCACCTCTCCCCCCGCGCAACGCCCTACAGCGAACCTGGATCTCTTGGCTGCGGGTATCCATCCTGATCGGCTCGTTTGCACTGGCGCTCTTCAACTCGTCCACCTTCTTCAACGACCACCACCACCCCTCGGGCGCACCCCAGTACCCGTCGCCCACGACCATCAAGACGTTCGGCACCGTCTACGCCGCCATTGCCGTCCTGACGCTCCTGTGGGGCCTGTACAGCTACCAGCGCCGCGTCACCCTCATCAAGCAGAAGTGGCCCGGCGACTTTGACGACCTCGTCGGCCCGCCCCTCATCTGCGCCGTCTTGTTTGTCGCCGTCCTGCTCAACTTTATCGTCAGAGGTGAGCATCCCCGACCGACCGACAGCCTCTGCGTCTTGACGCTCGCGGCAGTGGCGACGATGGTGGTCCTGATCCCCACTTATTTTCCCTGCCCTTCTCTCAACCTCTCTACACCTCCCTCGATGACCGCGATCGCAGTGCAACAACACAACCTCGAAAGCCAACCTTGAGGGCCCAAGAGGCTGAACTCCCGTCCCGCCTGCTCGCAATCGCACGCCTCACTCGCCCGACTCTTCTCCATGCACCGGTCACTGGCCCTACTGCCCGCCATCGAGCTTCCGACGCTGGCCGTCACGATCGACGCCGCGGCCGGATCTGCATCTGTCTTTTCGTTTCTATGGTAACTGGTAGCGTAGCGTGAAAGCAGCGGATTCCTGTGCTGAAGGTCCCGGAAACAACGAGCAGAGCATCAACGTCCATCCCTATCCTTCGAGCCGGCATGCCTGATTTTCCCCCCGGCGGCGAGGGGCACCGGGCTGCTCGCGAGAGGCTCTGGCATCAAGCGTCATCGGGCCTTGGCGCGCTAGATCTGGAGCATGTCGTGCCTAAGCGTCATGCGCATCGTGCCCGACTTGGGCAGGACGACCATCGACGTGTAGTCGGGCTCGGGGAAGCCGGTCTCGGTGAGCTTCCAGCGGAAGTTGCGCACCATGGTGGCAATGATGGTGCCGAGCTGGAGGTAGGCAAACTGCTCGCCGATGCAGCGGTGGCGGCCGGCGCCAAAGGGCAGGTAGGGCGAGTTGGCGCCCGTCGAGACCATGCCCCAGCCAAAGTCGACCTTGTCGTCCTCCTTTTCGCCGTCGCCGCTGCCGCCCTGCTCGTCCTTGATGACGCCGCCCGACAGCCAGCGTGCCGGGTCAAAGACGTCGGCGTCCTTCCACACCCGCGGGTCGACCTGGCTGACGCCGGGCGCGGCGAGGACGTAGTGCCCCTTGGGGATGACGTAGGCGTCGCCCTCGCGGCTCTTGGCCGACGACGAGGGCGAGGCAATCGTCGAGGGGACCGGCATGTCCGAGACCACCTTGCGCATGATGCTGTGAATCGGCGGGTGGAGGCGCAGCGTCTCGCGGACGACGGCGTCGAGCTTGGGCACCTTGCTCTTCTGCGTGTCGTAGTCGAGCGGGCGGAGCGAGGAGCTGCTGCCGTCGCCGTAGACGGCGACCTGCTCCTCCCAGAGCTCCTCGATAATCTCGGGCCGCGACGCGAGGCGGAGGAGCGCCCAGGAACCGGTGGCCGACGACGTGTGCTGGCCGGCCATGAGGAGCGCGATCATCATGTGGGCAATCTCGACGTCGGAGATGGGGCGGCCGTTCTTGTAGCTCTGCTCCATGAGCGCGCTGATCATGTCGTGCTCGTCGCTCTGGTGGCCCTCCTTGCGGCGCTTGGCGATAATGTCCTGGTAGAACTGGCTCATGCTGCGCTGGGCACGGTCGCGCTTGAAGTTGTTGGGGAGCGGCAGGTTGGGGATGACAAAGTTGATGGGGGTGAAGCCCGAGTCGAGGTCGTGGTAAAGCTGGGCAAAGGTCTTGTTGAGGCCGGCGCGGACCTCCTTGCCCTGGAGGGTGCGGCTGGCGGTGAGGATCGTGATCTCGCACATGGCCTTGAAGATGTCGACGTCGGCCGTCTTGGCGCTGCCCTCAACAAAGGGGCGGAAGGCCGGGTCGGTGCGAACGTAGTCACTGACCTCATCGACAATCTGACCGACGTAGACGCGGAAGTTGTCGGTCGAGAGGCCGACCTTGACAAAGCGCTTCTGCTCCATGAGGACGTGGTTGGGCACGTCGTAGACGACCTCCTTGCCAAAGACGGGCGTGGTGAGGTGGGTGTAGGCCTCCTCTGCGCTGACCTGGGAGAGCTTGCCGTTGAAGATGAGGTTGCTGCCCTTGCTGCCGAGGGCCACGGTGACCTTGCGGCCGAGGAGGACAAAGGTGAAGACGTCGCCGTACTTTTCGCGGCACTCGAAAAAGAAGCGGTAGGGATCCATGCCGTAGGTGATGGCCGAGCCGATGATGGGGACGTAGTGGAAGACGACGGGCGGCAGGTTGGCGCTGCGAGGCAGCAGCAGCTGCTGCGCCACATTGACGGCGATGGCGACCAGCGGCAGCGCGACGGCGAGGAAGGCGGCCTGGACGCCGAAACTGCTGTCGGCCACGGGCGTGTAGGCCAGCAGCTGCTGCACAATCGACTCGGATGAGTGTTGAGCCACCATCTTGGCCAAGAAGGGTGAGGGGGAAAGGGGAGAGAGGGCGGGGAGTGAGGAGGGTGGTGGTGGTGGTGGTGACGGCAAACGTCAAGAAGCGCGGAGGCCAGAAGAAGGGACGAGGAGCCACGCCGGCCCCTGCCTGCTTGCTTGCTCGTTGAGAAGGAGAGGTGCGGGCAGCAGGGTCGCCTCGTTCGGTGAAAGCCACACAGCCCTCCTGCCTGCCTGCCTGCTGGTTGGCTGGCTGCCCTGCCTGCTCTGCTCTGCGCTGCCAGGCTAGGCCAGGCCAGGCCCTGCAGCCGAGAGCCAGACGGCGCCGCCAAAAAAGTTGAGGCTCAGGCTGGCCAGCCGGCACCCAAAATCAGGCGGTGTTGGTTGGGCAGCGCGTGCAGCGAGCCAGAGGAAATCAGACGATTTCCACAGGCCTGCTTGCCGACCTGCCTGCTGGCCTGGCCTGGCCTGGCGGTTCGGCGGGGCAGCGCGGCGCAGCCAGACCCAACCCACGCCGCGCCACGCTGACCTGGCTCAGACGACTGGACTGGACCGACACGCCATGCATACGCAGCCGCACCCAGCAAGCAAGCCCACGGTCAGACAACATGCCAAGGCATTCATGGTGGCAAAGTCGAGATTGGTGACCATTACGATTCGCATGCTCTGCGCTTCACAGGGCCCAAACCGAGTGTCAGTAGTCGGGTCACGCCTGACGCGGCACCACCAGCTCTTCCTCGGCCTCCTCGTCCGCCTCCTCGCCCACCTCCGGCTGGACGCCCCTCTGCCCCGCCCCGTCACCCCGACCTCGGGCATCGTCCCTCTCGGCGATGCTCATCAGCTTGCTCTGTGCGTTGGCGGGCAGCGGCTCGGTGCCAATCGCGATCGGGAACTGGTCAAACACGCTCAGCCCGCCAATCGAGTCGGTGCGGCTCGAGCGCGATGCATCAAACACCGTCGAAGCGCCGCGCGTCCCGGCCGGAGCCCCACTCGCAGTCGACATCCGCTCAATCGGCGTCGACCTCATCGAGTCCGGCAGCGGAATCGCCGCCGCCTCGTCCGAAAATGGGCTCCTCCGGTCATCGTCGCCGTCGTCGCCGTCGTCGCCACCGTTGCTGCCGCCATCCTCGCGCCCGTCCCGTCCAATCGATGTGGCGAACGAAGTTCTGGCGCCTAGCCACGAGGAACGGTCAGCGTCGATTGGGCTCGAATTCGTGGGGTCCTGCAGCATGAACGTCTCGTCTGCAAAGGGGATGCCCAGCGTCGACGTGCTCATGTGGCTTCGGCCCACGGATTGCGCGTATCGCGGCTTGAGCGTGCCGTCGTGGATTGGGCTCGTTGTGACCGTGGCACCGGCAGCGGCGGCGGCGTCCGAGAATGGATCGCCGTGCTCGACTGCCGAGGGTGTCGTGGTCGGCGAAGAGTCGCCACTTTCGCCGTCCTTCCTCTTGAGCGAGCCGCCCCGGACCAGCTGCGCCTTGCCGCCCTTGTTGAGCTGCACGCGCCGCGCGCCGTCCGCCGTAACCGGCGTGATGATCTGCGGCGCACTCAGCACGTAGTCGAGGCCGGCCGTCGAGACCGAAGCCATCGTGTTGACGGTCGCGGTCGACAGGCGGTTGTCGGCACGCAGGTAGACGCGCGACTGCTGCAGCGCGGACGCTGGGTCGATGTTCATGAAGCTCAGCTTGCGGCCGTTGGCAGCAGCGCCGGGACCAGGCACCGCATATGGCGAAAGCATCGAAGAGGGGCCGGCGCCACCGGCATTGGGCTTCTGACCCGGCTCGGCGCCATCGGCCAGGCGCAGGTTGAGATGCGGAGATCGGACCGGTCGCAACGGCTGCTGCGATCCCGTGACTTCGACGATAGGCGCACCCACAGCGCGATGGGCGGGTGCGGGCACCGAAGGCGGGGTGCCCGATTCCGAGGACTGAGGTCCTGGAGAGATGGGGACGCCCATGGAGCTTGCAGGCGACGCTGGACTCGGTCTGAAGGTGATGGGGATGATGTTGCCCGACGAGAAGGTGGTGCCGCTGCCGACGCTGATCCTTGGACCGGCGCCGCCGACCTGGACCGACGAGCTCTTGCTCGATTGGCGACCGTGCCGGCTGGAGCGACCGCTGGTGCTGGCCCGACCGGTGCCTGGACCGCCTCGCTGGCCGTCGTCATCGCCGTTTCGAGCTGCATCGTCGTCGTCCTCGTCTTCCTCTTCCTCTTCGGCGCCCTCGGTGATCTTGGACAGGTGCGTCGCGGCGCCAAACGACCGGCGTTTGAAGACGGTGGGCTCCTGCAGCGGGTCCAGCGTGTCGAGGCTCTCGAGCGGGTTGCCCTCGATTTGCGTCCATTCCGTGTCATTGTCGAGCAGATCGGGCTGGTGAGCGCCATTGGCGCCGCCATTGGCACCGCCGCCGCCCAGCTGGATGGTGACGCCGCCCTTTTCCAGGCCACGCTTCTCCTGGGCGGCCAGCTCCGAGCGGCGCCGGGCGTCGTTTTCTAAGGCGATGCGCTTCCTCCTCGATCTCCTCCAGAGAAGAAAGGCCACCAGCGCGATGGCGAGCGCGCCGAGAACACCACCGAGCGCTCCGCCGAGGCTCGACGAGCTGCTGCCGGACGAGCCCGACCCCTCTCCGTCGATGGGGACGCACTTGTTGACGGGGCACGTCTGGCACGACGAGCGGAAGATCTGCTGGCACTGGTAGCCCTTTTTGCAGGGCGGGCACGGCTCGATTGAGGCGCAGACGGCGCAGCCACTGCCATCGTCGCGCTTCTGCCTGACGAGCCGGAGCGGTAGGTGTGAATGTTCCAGCATCGTCCGAGGGTCGAGTTCGGGGCGGAGCGACGTCAAGTGTCGAATGGGTGGCGCGTCCTTCGCTGCTGTGAGAGCGCAGGAGTCAGAGACAGATGCGCCGATGCTGGCGACGAGGTGGAGCGGTGGCAGATGAGATGAAGCGGGCGAGATGTGCAGGGAGCAGGTCGGTAGCCGATGCAAAGGCGCCGAGACGCTCTGGGACGCCAGGTGAAAGTGTTCGGAGCGAGGAGCGATGCGAGGTGTGGGGCCGGCCCAAGATGATCGGAGCTAATAGGAGTCGAGCAGCGTGTGGGGCAGAAACCAGTCTGCGGATGGAAGCGATGCTGACTGTAGGTACAGCAGCAGGACGGCGGCGGTCGGTCACGACGATCGATGAGGCAGGAAGAGCGGGAGCAGTCGGGCTGGAAGGGAGGAAGAGTGGTATGCGATGCTGTCGAAAGGGCGCGATGAGGCGATGGAGGGCAAGATGGGGGGCGAGATGGAGCTGCCAGCGAAAACGAAGGTGGAGCGTAAGAGAGGTCCGAGCCAGTCGGAAGAGGTGTCGCGGGCACAGAGAGAGAGTGTGTGTGTGGGAGGCCGGGGAAGGCGATCAGTGGACAGATCGAGCCACGGGATGCGCGATGTGGGTATGGGGAAGGTGGAGAGGGAGAGGGAGGATGGCGGGAGACAAAAGAGTGGAAAATGAGATGGTGGATCGGAGCGGGGAGTCGGTCGACGAGCGGTGCTCGACGTTGGGGGGCCACACAACCAGGCGGGTCACAGACGAGCGGAGACGTGCGTGTACGGCGGGCTTGGCTTCGGTTGTGTTGGCCGAGCCTGCGCCGTCGCTCCTTGTGGCAGGTGCGCCCTGCCTGCTACACGCACGCCCGCCCGCCCGCCCGCCGCC